TAAAGAGTTTTATTGCCAGAGGAGTTTCTGAAAACTTGAGCATTTTCAAACTTAACTGTGGGATAGGAGGAATGCCCCAAAGGGCTCCCATTCCACAGCACTTGCCTGAATTTCCAAAGCACTGTCTCACTAGGGTAATGGCAAACAGTGAAAAACACATCTGCTCTTTCACCAAGGACTACTTCTTCATTCAGCTGATCACCAAATAGGCAAAATAACTGTATGTTATAACTGAGACAGAGTGTAACGACTGTGCATGATGGAGAGAAAAGAAAGTTCAAGACCTGAAGTTGATATCTAAGTGCCCACTCTCACTGATTCTCATAAGATTCAAAAAGCACTTTTGATGATTTTCACCATTTTTTTTAACAGCTGCACTGCCTGAGTTGTTCAGAGTTTTAATGTAATAGCTACAATGTATTTTGCTGCTACTTTCTTCTCATTACAGATGAAATGTCCAAGCCATAAAAGAGAAGAAAGGTCACTGTCAGGCCAAGATCAAGTCTGGAAAATTTCAGTTTGAGACATGAGCAGTTCAGGAAGTTATAAGCAACTGAAACTATAAAGGAATTATAATTGAAACAAGAATTTTAACTATAGCTCTTTCCATGCTAACCAAGTATTATTTAATGTATTTCAGCAGCATTCAGAAACTCCTCTTGACATGAACGATCTGTGCTTTCAAGATCACTCCCAACCTCCTTGGAAAAGCACAAAGAAGAGATGATTGGTATTGGCCACAGCTGCAGCTGATGGAGATCAGCACAGCTCCCTCACTTTCAGTTCAGTGAGTCACAGGAAAAGCAGCAAAAAGCAAACAAACCAAAACTTGTAACAGCAGATCTAGTTTACTTCTGCATTGCTTCCCCCCAGCATAGAAGTGCTGTCTCTGCCAGCCGCTCACCAGAGTAGGTAATTGAACTGTGGCCTGTTCTGATGAGCACATTCCCATCATGTGCTTGCCCTGCTCCTCACAGGAGGGCCATGAATGGAATGAAGCCTAATCAAAATCTCCAAAACAGATTTATAATTGTGTACAGAATAAATGCACCTTTATTTTTCCCTTCACTGTTCCAAACACAGACTCTAGAAAGGCATCCTATAATTGTGGAATTCCTGTTGAGATAATCTTAGAGAGATCATTTTTCTAAACAGTGCTGTGCTAAAAATTTCATCCATGAAAATTCTGCATGTCACCTCAGACATTTAACTGTCTACACACATGGCAAAAAAAAAAAAAAAAAAAAAAANAAAAAAAAAAAAAAAAAAAGCAAACAATGTTTCAAATTCACTCTACTTGACTCCAATTAAGAAGTGTTTGTGAAGAGTAATGCATCAAGTTTTTAGTGCAATGAGCTAGAGGAACTGCCACCAGCAGCATCTTCACTTCTTTCCAAACATTGTGATACTGTGCTTAAGTCAAAAACTAGGTCATAAACTTCTATATTGGAAAGTGTTTATAGCTGTTTGGACAGGCTTATTCTGTTCAAGAGGTTATAATAATAAAAGAAGCTTTTAAGAATACTTTTTCCAAACTCTTCATAGGTCAATGCCAGTTTGGGAAATTGGCTCATTATTTATCCTTGTTTGGCTCCTCCAATATCAATTTCTTTTTTGTTTTGACCTCCTTCTGGACAAATATAAAATTTGCTGTTTCATCTAATTAACAGGAGGAGGACTATAGAAAATAATCCCTCATTTAGTCTAGTTCCAGAATCATTTTTACAAAAACACTGTCAGAGTTTCAAGAAGCATTCAGATGTTAAGAGTCCTGCCAAAGTTTGCAATCTAGTTATATCTTGCTACAGAAAAAAAACAAAGAATATTAAAAAAAAAGGCAAGAAAAAACCCCAAAACCTGCTCTGTTTTTACAATTTTATACAAATCTCTGGCAAGAAACAATCTACCTCACATATTCACATGCATCCAGAGGATCTGTGGAAAAGCTTTATTCTCCTTAGTCTAATCAAATTCACTTTCTTCATTTCCAAACTCTCTCAACACGTTTTTCTCAGCCACTCCTCCCTGTTTTCCTGTTGTACAGGAAAACAAAGCAGATTTTCCCTTCTCCCCATCACATCTCCCTTTTGAAGGCTTAAATCAGCAAGCAAACAGCTCACCCACAGTTCTAGGATTGCAAAGCTTTTTCATTTGAGGTTCCTTCTTTCGGTTCTCCATTAAATACCTGGTCATTTTGTACCACAAGCAAGTTCACTGTCCATCAGCCTCACAAAATGGATTCAGGAGAAATCCTTTGCCCATTTTCTGGGGCCTTGAGGAACAAGGTGCCAAACAGTTACCTCCAAGTGAGAAAGCTAGTTTTGTAGTCTTTCACATGTTTTTCCATGAGTTATCAGAATGCACAAGTGGAGTCATCCTCAAGAGAAATAGCCTTAAATTATATGCTTCATCCAATTTGCCTTGTATCTCATAAGGATTTAGCCCAAAATATGGACACAGAAGGGAATAAAGTGTACAACATTCATGTGGTAATCACTTATTAAGTCCAAGATCACCACTGTTTTTAACAAAAACAAAAATCAAGAGCAAAAATAAACTCAATTTCTATCCAGCTTCATAAATTCTGTCTCCCAAATATTCTCTGCCAAGAAGGAGAATCACAATAATTAAATTATTCTCCTTCAACTGGCTCTAAGATTTTAGCTAAGAGCTGTTTTAGTTTCTGCTTGCTTTTACAGAATTTGGAATGCCTTTACATGGAAAAGTGTCATATTCTGAATTCTGTAGTTAGCACACTCATGTCTCAAATTTTATGTTTTCAGAGAGACCCACCTTCAGCCTTTTCCAGTTCAGCAATGCTACCAAAATAGTTAACATCATATATATTGCATAGTGTTTTTCTGAGACTCCATCTAAGCAAGTCAGGTAGATCTATGCAATATTCACACTTTCTTCCATAGCCTTGACATATCAGGTGCAATATGTACAGTCAGGTACTCAGTGCAATGATTTTGCTGCAAAGGCATCATTGGGCAACTCCTTTTTTTTTTTTAGTCCATCTAAAGTTTCTGTGAACCCAAAAGCAATGTTTTAAAAGTGCAAAAGAAAAGCAACAAGAAAAAATATAGTTCAGTTCTGATTAATGGTGCTATATTTTAATGTCTTGCTGGGAGGCTCAACCCATTGAATATGTATCCTCAGGATATTTTAAATTTATGGTAGTTTCTTCCAAACAATTTTTAATCCTGTCAGGAAAAAAATGGCAGGATAACTGCTTAACAGATGATATAGCATCTTCTCTGTAGCTTTCTGTAATTCTAGGAGGTACAGAACACAAACTCCAAATTCCTATTAAAATCACAGGAAATAAACTAAAAGATTAAAGTAAGACAGGTCTGAGCAGCTGCCTTAAACCTATTCATTAGGAAGGCACTAGCAGTGGGAGGGCACAGAAGGCCTGCAGTTTCATTCCACTTCAAGGAGATTTTAGTCTAGCTGCTTTTTAAACTCTCTTTAAAGGTTTGCACCCATCATCCTTTCCTACCACCCCACTGGAGCAGAAAAGCCTCAACTCAACTACTGAGTCTCCTGGCATGTCAACCCAGTCTCCAGGTTAAATGAAATTAGCAAGTAGGAGGTTCAAAACTAACTTCAGGGACTACTTGCTTCCTCCCTTCCTGAATTCAGCTGGGGTATCCAGAACAGTACAAAGTGGCAGAGCCTAAAAATCCACCTGGGATAAAATTATAACCTCAAAAATCCACAGAAAGGGAAAGTATAGCTAAGACTACCCATCAAATAAGCCAGCACTGACACTGATGGCCATCTACAGAGCCTGAGAGGCTGATTTGGGAAGCAATCACATACTCCACTCTCCTCTCTTGGCACCAGCTGTCAGTCATAGGATGACAGCTGGGACATGAGACAGGAGGCCTTCCTAAATCTCTGTGCTAACCTGGTCCTTGATCCACAGATACTTACATTTTTATGTGTTTTCTGTATTTATGCTCTTGCACTCTGCAAGTTGGAAAATAAAGTAAACTCCAGGGTCATCCTTCTATATATATTTGTGTCCTTACCTTAAGACAACTCTTTTAACACTGTACCTACACATCTGTCTCCAACCTGAACGCAATGCAGTCTCCACCACGTCTGTCTTCAGAATGCTCTCGCAAAGGAAGATGAGATGAGGGCAATTGGAAGGCCAAAAATATTAAACCCCATGTGTGATTCAGAAAAGCACTTACACATAAGGCCAAGCCTTTCACTGTAGCTGAAATGTGCACTCAGCAGTACCCACCCTCACTTTAGACCACTGGCTGCCTGGCAGCTCTGCCTTGCCAGCACAACGAGGTGATCCTCAGGCACACAGAAAGCTCAATAAAGGCACACGATATAGCCCTGGGCATATCGGAGTTGTGTAAAAAAAAGTACTCTGGACATACTATTTTCTCTACCAGAAATACAAGCATATTGGTATGTAGGCACTTAGTTCCCACTGATATGGAAACTAAAGGTTTTGCCCATGTTTTCCCACAAAGCTTGTGGCACAGCAAGCATTAAATCAATACCAAGTTTTGCTTGCCTTTGTGCAGGCTTTAACAAGCTTGCATTAATGGACATAAAAAACTTGACAACTATATCCTGAATTGGCACAGCCTTAAAGAACAAGTTAAGTTACCTAAACCACACAAGAAATGCTGAAATCGTTCTTATTTTCAGACCTGTAGCTGTAACCACTAATGTGAAATAAAATTCCTATGGAAATTTATACAGTAGCAAGAGTAAAGATGGTAACAGCAGCAGCAGCATCTGTTACTAGGGTTACCAAATCTAGAAGGAAACAAAAAACTTGTTGACACTGATTTACAGAGAGATGTATGGAAACATTCATGTAGACAAGAGATTTATATTTTATATTCAGTGAATTTTAGTGGTGTAACATTAAATACTGCTTCTACTGAAGCTGAACCAAAACAATGTGAGGAAAGTTAATGAACAGCCACACCAAATCACATGTATCTGATTTCTTACCTGAAGTGTGTTCTGTTCATCCATCCTCATTACTGCTGTCCCAGGGCAATGCTTCAGCAACCACATAAAAAGATCTGGTGAGCTCCTAAGTGTTTAAAAAGAAATAGCATGTTACACAATATAAAAGCCACCAAATCCATTGCAAATAGAAAAATAATATTTCAGAATTCAGTGTGACACTGAATTTGCAAGGATTTTTTTTAGTTCAAATTACTAAGACTTTCTCCATGCATTCAAAGTTGTGATATGTTTTGCTGAGGTAGAATCAGAACCACAGGCAACATAATTACTTACAAGACTAATTATAGATGGAAAAAATCAACATGACATGCAAAAATAGAAGAATCAAAAGAGAAACAATAATCCACAGTTGGTTTGATAATTTGGCAACTATGTTGCATCTACATATTCACTTGTTGGTACTAATTCACAGTAGTTCCAGAGAAGTTTTTCATTTATTCACAGAAAAATAAATAACATTTCCAAATTATGGTTGCATTTTATAGAAAGAATTACTTATGCTAATTGTGAAATACGTCTTTCCTTAATATTTTTTCTTTTCATTTGGAAAGCTCTATGTTTAAATATCCAGGTACGAAGAATACTTTAAAATTCTGGACACAGCTATGTTTAGTGCTGCATTTTGGCTTTAGAACCACAACGTGAGTACATTAAAAAGCTCTGCAACTTACATCAGTTAAACGGTATCTCTGTAAAGTCTTCTTTTTAAAAATCGAATACCGAATTTGAAAAAATGTGCACAGCTAGTGTTACATGTGACTACTTGATTAACAGAGTAACATTGCAGTCAGGAAATTAACCTTTCAGATTTCACGTAATGCAGTCTGCAAGCATAACACCATAAACTGCATGGACAAAACATGTTTTCTAGGGCACAGGAAAAGTCCTTCTCCATAACAGCACACAAGTGGGTCTGCTCTTATAAAGGACAATATACTTTATTGTGAGCTACATCTATAACACACATCTCCTGCCTGCTGCACATCATAAAATTATGTAAGGTGCACAATGCAATCTCCGCAGAAGTCCCCATCAATTTCCAGCAACCTGCAGCATATGGAAGAACATTCTGATTTCTGTGGCTTAAGTGCATTTGCTTCTCATGGAAAATCCAACTGCCTACTCCAGTAAGTCAGGATTAACAAATCATAACTCAGGACAGGGTTACAACTGTGTTTGCCTATACTTCATTTACAAAGAGACAAAGCTTACAAAATCCACCTGCAGAAACCCATCTTATCATCTACAAAACTTGAAGTGCTTTATCTAATATTAGCTTTTCTATTTTATGTCTTTTCACATCACCCCAGTTTTACATAACTGCCTAAAAGCCAAGAGAACCTCACCCCCAATTACAGAGCAGAGGATTCAGTGTATGTCTGTGTTAAGTAATAACTCAAAATACAGCAGGATCAGGTAATATTCTTATTTCATTAGTGAATCCTCAGATATTTGTTCTGTTTACAAATAAATTAAATAAATCAATCAGATAAATGTAAGTTAGCCTTATCCAGAATGCATCTCATAAACTTGGTGTACATTCAAGCTATTGCATAGTGGCAGGAGACCTTAAATTATAGTTCCATATTCATGTTTAAATCCCACTGGTGTGAATTCAACAATGAGCCAATGAAGACCTAACATATAGAGAGACACCTGACAGTTGCACAATTACCTGCAGTGGCTTTGATCTGTAATTTTCATCTTATAACACTAAGGTCCTGAAAATACAGCCAAAATATCAGCCAACCTTTCCCAAAAAAATGTGCTGTTAAAACTCGAGTCTCTTCCAACAAAATCTCTGCAATTTCTCTGCAAGGACACCCAACATCACTGAAGAATGTAGAAAAAAACAGAAACCTCTCAAAAGCACAAGCTGCTTACCTGAACATAAGCCATTAAAAAAAATATAAAGAAAAAAGAAAAAAAAATAGTTGATAAAAGAGCATACTTAATTTATTTGACTGCAGTTCCTAACTTTAGAGGATAATTGCCACTTGTGACTAATTAAAGCCACATTAGGTATTAAACAAGAGACCTTCAAAAACATTTGGCTCAAAGAGTGCTGAAGCAAGGGTGTAGTGAAGAACAAAAGTTCATGTGGAATTCTGTTCAGACTGTGGCTCCTAGGCTATCCCTATGGACTGTTGGTAGTCTCTACAGTTTCAGTAGATGTTCCACAAAATAATCATGAAGAGGGAAAAAAAACCAAAACCACATTCCTGAGGGTGCAAGCAACAAAATTTGAGAGAAATAAAAAGAGTTAGGTCACCAGTCAAAGTGCGATTCTCATCTGGTCACAAATGAGAAACATTGTTGAAACAAAACACAATGTTATCCATACATTTTTCTTTTATCTGAAAAAAGAAAAATATTAGGTTACCTACTGATGAAAGACAGATTGATGAATACTTTTACAAGTTATATTTCTTTGAAAATATGTACTAGGCACATAAATATGCCTCATTGGGGCAAAATCCTTGAAGCAAAAATAAGAAACACAAAAGCACAAGACAGATCCCAGAATGCTTTCTAGCTCTTGGTGTCAAGTCTGGGCCCATGCAGAACCTCAGACCATTTTTGGGGAGACCAGCCTTCATGCCTTGGCTTCGGCATCAGGAGATCCCAGCAGGGAACCCAGATGTGTACTGTGGCATTTTTTAGACAGGGGCTCATGATTGTCACCAACCTACCAACCAGCTTTGTTCACCACCTCCAAAGCCCACATAAAGCAGAAGACAAAGCTAATATCAAGATTTAAACTTTAAATTAGACAGCTTTCATCTGTTTGATTTCTTAAGCCAATCAGGGCAGTCACATTAGTCAATTTTAATTACCTGACTTCCTTCCCAAGGAAATGGATACAAGTATTGGTTTGGCTACTCAGACAATAGTGCTGCCTGAGGCTGACAGTATTAAAATGCTGGGGAGAGAGTCAAGATCACTAGAATCAAAATCCTTCTGCCCACTCCTTGCATGTTCATCAGAGATAGGAGAGCCCTGAAGGATCAGACTATTGCTTTGAGCAATTCTTTTCATCAACAGCCAGCTGAGATATTACTGAGTAAGGAAGCCCCTGCCAGCAGCCCCTCTGCTCTCCCCCATTCCTGAGCAGAGGTGCTGCTTGGAGATGAGACAATGAGGTCTCTAAATGCAACTGAAGAGAGTTGCTCACCCTAGAATTCCTCCTTTTCTGCCAGGAACCATTAAAAGCTCTTTGTGCTAGCTATGGCAATCAGTCATGCTCATCTGGGGCAATCAGATGTATCTTATGGGTACTGCTGGCTGCCAGGCTCACTTCCAGCATCACTGTCTATATGATGCCCCTTCTTCCTTCATACCAAGCAAAGTTTTGTGGCAGAAGATTGTGTGAAATGCATCAGAAAATATTGTTTCTGTCATAAATACTATCAATGCTTCTCAAAGAATTAGACTAGGAATTATTTTACAAGAAAAAGATCATTTGTAGGGCTGGGACAAAAGCACTACCATGAACTAGGTCAATCCCATCATTTGTTACTGTTCTAAAGTACAATAACAGCGGGAAGAGAAGGTCAGGGTGGAATAATCATTTGTTAACAATTTTAATAGTAAAGCTTTATTGGTTTTCCCTATGGATTCTGATAGTTATTATAGTGAAATTAAGTGTTTTTCCTCCAAGTGAACTCTTGTTAATCCTTTTATTTAGGTTCTGAGCTACAGTACATGACCCTGCAAGAATATTCATCTACAGTCACAGCTGGAGCTGCAGACTCAGTGGCTTGAAGGAATTAATTTCTTTGCAAGGCAGAAACAACTGAAAAGCCAAAGGCTTATCTACAGGAAAACCTGAATTTCACCAACTTGTACAAAGAACAGGACAAACCAAAAAATCTATAATCAGACACCTCATTAAAGAGAAGATGAGAAAAAACTTTGGCACATTAGAGGGATAAAATCTGGGGGGGAGGAATATTCTGATGGCTTGTCATACCACAAAATAATCCTTAGGTTAAAGAAAAAAAATCTGAATTTTATAATCAGATTAAATTTTACTCTGTTAAACTGCCACCTTGCAGTGCTTAACCCCAACCACCCAGACTTTCTATTATCTCATACCTTTGACAGTAACTTATTCATTTGCAAGACTTATCTGAAGCCAGTTATAACATTACCAAGTGAAAAGCCTGTTCTTGCTTCACCTTGGTTGTCAACATGTCAGTCCATTTTCTCCCATGTAAGTAAATAACAACAGAGGTGTAAAGAATACTGGAAAGTTAAACTGTTTGACTGGGTATAATGAAAAAATTGTCACAAAAAAAAATATTACAAAGCAGAACCTTGGCCATCAGGTCACCAAGTGTAGATATTAAAACAGGTCATGAGCAGGCAGAACTTAAAACTTGACTGACAACCTGCACTTGGAATCTAAAATCTGAATTTTCTGCTTTTGATGGCATTCAAGAAAGTAATTCAAAAGCAGTTTTTAATAGTTTAATTTTCTCAATATAAAAAAAAAGGGAAAAGAAAATTCATAGTGTTCAGATTCAACACTTCTTACGAGAAGCTGTAGATAAGCATTCACCAGATGCATCACACTCCTGTTTTATACAGAATGCAGTGAGACATTATTAACTTGATCATGCATGAGTATAGTCAGCACCTTTCTAATTATATGAAAGTTTGACCCATTAAACTGATCAGAATTATTTGTATATCCACAAGCATTCGCAGCAATTTATTTTTAGCATATTGCACTGAAATATTTACTTATGCTTTCTGAAGCTGAGCATCCCTGACACTTTCGAGACCTCAATATCTTGAATTTTTCAAATCATTGCTTTCCTAATCAAGGAATAAAGAGACATAAAAGCTTCATTTAATGAAAATAGTTTAGAAGCAGATTTTTTTTGAGGAGAATCTAAGCACAGAAAACCCAGAATATTTTTACTCCTTGCCCATATTTTAATTTAGGTATTGAACTTGGTTGCATTTAAAATAGATTTCCAGCACATTCTTTCTGAGAAAATATTACAGTCACACTGAAATTCTTAAAAGCTTCTGAAACAACATGAGCACGTCTTT